GAATGATCCAGATTGGGTGTCAAACATGGAGAGCAAGGGAACTGAGTCAAGGACAGTGGCAGGAGCAGTTGACGAGATGAGCCACAGAGGCTGAGGAGGCAGGCGAATGCAAGAGGTCAGAGAACAGGGGTAGTCAGTCAGTTAGTGCTGACTGAGAGGAGGGTAAGGCAAGAGAAGATGGTATCTGATGGTATTATTTCAGAGCCGGAACAGTTCTAGATATTATAACACAAGGGTGTGGCCATGGGAGAGGGCAGCTGAATTGAAAAAGAGGTGAAGGTGACTGGAAGTAGGGTCAAGACACTGAGAGTTTCTGAGATTTGGACAGGGTCCCCTGAGACCAGGGCATGATGTGACAAGACAGTAAGTTGGGGTCTAAAGATTTTAATGAATAAGAGTGAGAAGCAGGGAGGTTAGAAAATAACAGGGAAGAAAAAAGTGGTAGAAGACCTGTAATGAACATTTGTTGTTTCTGCCTGTCCAATATTCATTCGTTCCTCCTTCTTCTCTAATAGCATCCTGATTCTGCTTAGAAAACCATCTCCTTCCTCCCCAGGCACAGAAGGGGCTTCCAAAATACTGGTAATATTCTATGTCTTAATCTGAGGGGTAGGAACATGAATGTTCATTTTACTCTTCTTTAAACCATATAGATGCATTTTATTCTTTAAAGTATACAGATATATGTTACATACTTTGTATATACATTTCACAGTTAAAACAAACATACAAAAACTTCCCTTCTCCATGCTCCAAAGATGACGACCTGGTCCAGGTCTGGACAATCAGTTACAAAGATTGGTTTCAGTGCCTGACCCAATTTAGGCTCATGAGGCAACAGCCCCGAGCCTTTGCTGGAACTATCAGGAAAAAGGTGCTCTCTTTCTGCTGGAGTTGTGAACCTTTTTGTAGAACATATCCCTTCACTAGTTTGAGAATAAAGCCAACACAGAAGAAAGTAGAACCAAGAGACGGAACCAGACATCATTTGAATACCTAGTTCCAGCCATTCCTAAAGCCAAAATACCTGGGGCTTTTCGACACGAGCCAGTAGTTTTTTTTTCTCTTCAGCCAGTTTGCAGTTTGGTTTATAACCTTTTAACTACAGTCACGCATTGCTTAACGACGGGGAAATATTCTGAGAAATGTGTCCTCAGGTGATTTTGTCCTCGTGTGAGCATCATAGAGTGTACTTACACAAACCTAGATGGTATAGCCTACTACACACCTAGGCTATACGGTACTAATCTTACGGGACCGAAATGTCATTATGCGGTGCATGATTGTAAAAAGAAACCTAATCCAGTGGAAGAGTCAAATAAAGCATTCTCAATTCAACAGCCCGTGTGATCCTTTTCAAGACATAAGTCAAACCATGCCCTCCTTCTGCTCAAGATCCTGCAATGGCACTCAAAATAAAGACCAAAGTTCTCCAGGTGGCCTACCAGGCCCTACACAGTCTGGCTCCCTCCCCTCGGCCAATGACTCTCCATTGCTCTCTCCCAGCTACACCGGCCTCTGGGGTATTGCCTGACACACCAGGCAGGTGCCTTCAGGCCTCTACTTCGGCTGTTCCTTCCACTCGGACTCTCCTCCAGACGTCCACTCAATAACTCCCTTACCTCCTTCAAGTCTCTGCTCAAATCTCAAGTTCTCAATAAAGTTTACCTGAATTCCCCTTCCCATGGCCACCTCCCCACTCCCTGCCCTACTTTTTCTTCCTTCCATAGCATCTGTTACATAATATAGTATATACACACTAAAATGTACCCAATGAGGGCAGGGGTCTTCAACTAGTTGATTCATCTCAAGTTCTTAGACCAGTGCCTGGCTTGTAGCAGACGCTCAAATATTTGCTGAATGAACAAATAAAATGACATGAGCCTCAGAGGAGCAGAGCTTGGTTTGTAAAAGGCAGTGGAGAGAGAGCACACTGACCACCATCTCCTGATCCTGACATAAGTGGAGTATCGGAGAAAAAGACACCTCCATTTTGAAGACTTCAGAGGAAGCAACGACCTAAGGGGGCAGGAAACAGGTAGAAGAGTTCAGTGAAGAGGTTGAGGATGTGGGAAGGGGTGTTAACCACAGCTGGGGCTTGAGAGGGTTTGGTGTTAAGTTTTGGGAGGCATGCAAGAGTTCGAGGCTGAGTCAGGGGAGGAACAGCCCAGAGCAGTTGGCAGATGAAAGCAAAAAAGAGAGATGAGCCAAGTGGTTTATTTACATTTTAGGTGGAGACGAAAGATGTAGTGATAGAAGCCTGGTGAGTTTAGCTGGCATCAAAATAATTAGTCGTAGCAACCCTTCACAGATAGAAAGGATCCCTCCCATCCCACCATGGTTTGAATGATTTTAGAAGCTGGTGGATGGAGAGGCCATCACATTCAGTCTTTTACTCCTACCCATTAGCGCAGAGGCTGTTCAGAAGTGTCTGCTGAACCGAGACACAAGGCTTCCCTGTTCGTGGCACCATCCTGGGCCCGCAGAAAGCAATTCTCCTCCACATAAATAGTAACCCTGCATTATGAGCAGCCTGTCAAACTCATTGTCCAAGCCCAGAACAGACTCCGAATTAGGCACCCAGGATCACAACCCCAATGTCCAAAAAGGCAAGAAAACAGGCTTCTTTTCAAAGACAGACCACAGCACTCAACTTTCCTACCTGCCCTTCAATGAGCCCCATGCTGCTGGGCAAGAGAAAGCAGGGCAAAGGAAAGGCTTCCTTCCACTGGTCCTGACTCACCTCTGTTGCTTGCTAGTTTCTCTCCGCAGAAATTTCTCCAGAGTTACGAGCATATGTGTACGCCAAGGTTCAAGGAAAACATTACTCCTAGTCAGAGAAAAAAATTGCTTGGCCTCTAAGGAAAAGTCGCTTACTATAAATCAGGTCCTTGGGAATAATGTCATTTTGATGCTCCTCACAGCTGTAAGGAGACTTATTAAATATTCAATAATTAATAATAACGCCTTCAAGACTATCTCTCACACAGAACTGTCCCTGTAAAGGAAGCCAGACGTAATCAGACTTGGGCCTGACTTCCTGCCCACCAACTAGATCTTGGTGGCACAGGACATTTGTCGTCCAGGTACACATCAGTGAAATGCCCATACGTACTTCTGAGTCAGATATCCTCCAAGAGTGGATCATTAAGCAAATATTTAAAATAGCCATCTGTAGTAGCCAGCCTCCAAGATGGCCCCAAGGATCCCCATTCCGTGGTATTCAGACCCTCTGCCCACACTGTACCAGCGTTGGTCTGAGTGACCAATACAATATGGCAGAGGCATGTCAGTCCATGATTAGATTATACAAGACTGCGATCTGAGTCGGGATCTCTCTCTCTTGGATCACTTGCTCTGAGGGAAACCAGTCCACGTCAAGCAGTCCTATGCAGAGGAACGAAGGCCTGCCAACAGCCACGTGAGCGAGCTTGGAAGCTGATCCTCCCCCAATCCACCCTCTAGACAACTGCAACCTCGGGAAAGACCTGAGTCAGAATCACCCAGCTAAGCTGCTCCCAGATTTTTGACCCCTAGACACTACTTTTAGGTGCTAATGTCGGAGTAATTAGTTACACAGCAATAGATAATTAACTCACTATCCTACACAGACCTGAGAAGGAAATCAGAAGGTTTAACCTCAGTTCCTCTCCTACATGCAGTTAAGACTAAGTTCTCTGTTCATAAGAAAGCAGCAAATTATTCAGGCCGTCATTCAACAACTACTTATTGAATGTTAAATATGGACAAGGTATTTCCAAGCAACAGAAGCCTTCATGTAGTTTATAATCTTCTATAAAATAAAATTCCGTCTATAAAAGGAATCACAAAGAGCCTCTCCAACACACACACCCCTCAAGATGCTCAATCCACTGGTTTCATTAGCTTTTTAAGTCTTCCGGCTCCCTCTCACTACTTGCACAGACCCTCTCCGGAACATACATCAGTTCCTCCTTCCTAGCTATTCTGAATGCTCAATGCATTCACATTCATTTTTCCTGTACCACATGCCCTCCCATCTAAGGAGGAAAGAAAGTTAGGTCCCCTAATTCCATTTAGTATTGGGACAAGGAGGAATTCGTTTAGTATTTTACTAGGAGGCGGAAACCGTGATCACAAGTGTTGAGAAAAATTCTAATTTCTGCAATTAGTGACTAAGTGGCAACAGCAGCGCTGCTACAATCCCAGCTCAAGTCCTCGTCACAGCTGAAATGGCGGTGGGGGAGGGGAGGCAGCCCCTTACCCCTCACTGGACTCTGCTGTCTCTCAAAGCAGCAGGAGGTGATGCTGCTCTAAGAAAATCAGGAGCCTCCCTCGGCACAAAGAAGGTCAAAGGGCGAGCTTTCTTCTCATCAACCACAAAACCAGCCTCTGCCAAACCTAAACAGTGTGGGAGGCCGGCAGAGGTGAATGGGGCCCGACAGAAAACCACAGCGAGACTCTTGTCCCGCCGCGGCTGGGGTCTGAGTCAGGTGACTCCTCTGGGCGCAGAGCAAACCTAAACAAAGATCACTCCCCACACGACAGACAGCCGAAGACGACGACTCCGGCGGTAAGACCCAGGCTGCCCAGTCCCACCACGAAAACTTAACTCTTGCTTCTCTCAGTCCCGGGAACTGGAGGAGCTACAAGTTATTGAGCAGCTCAGCCTTCAGGGATGCACCTGGAGGAACGTGGGACCCCATCCCAGAACGCAGCGCCGAGCACTGCACACGCGCCTCCGGCCCCAACGCGCAGGCGGGACCCCTCCCCACCAGCTGTCACCGGCGCTCGCGACCAGACACAGCAGAGCAAGCCCGTCCCCCTGGCCGCTCCCCCTGGGCTGCGACCCCGCGGGGGCGGCAGAGATGCTTCTTCCGAAGGCTCTGGGGGCGCGTGAACGCCCGCCCCCCGGGAAGGGGCGCCAGGGTGGGCGCGGCCCAGTGTCCAAGGGGCTCCAATTCCATCAGCCCCCTCGGGAGCGAAACGAGCCTCCCCGTCCCCAGCCCCGCGCGCCCCACCTTGTCGCCGAAGCTGCGGGCCATCAGCAGGTCCGGGCTGGGCGTGCTGTCGCCGCCCACGGCCTCCTCGCTGCTGGAGCCGGCCAGCGGGTGCGGCATGTCACGCAGGGAGTGGGGCCCCGTGGACGGCAGGGCCTTGGGGGGCCCGCCCGACATGGCGCACGCC